GCAAGGGTCTTGTAACTTGACAGCTTTAAGACTTGCGTGCTTCAAATGCCAGAGTTTCTGAGCCGACATTTTGGTTGCTAAGCAAGAGCGTTGTTAAGTGAGTTTCACCACATCAACCTTGAGCCAGTGAGATTTGAACAGCCGAACTGCTGAAGTGGCTGCAGTACTGCACTCTACCCACTGCACCACCTCGGCTCTTGTTTAAACTTGGTTTAAACAAGGTTCAAATTGCCCCCATTAAAAATACACCCCACCCACCCCACCCCCCCGGTGGGGCGTGGGCCTCACATTGGGAACCACTGGTGTAGGGTCTCCTGCTTGAGCAGGGGGTTGGACTAGATGACCTCCGAGGTCCCTTCCAATTCTGTTATTCTGCTCTGCTCTGCTCCTATTCTATTTTATTCCATTCTGCTCTGCTCTTATTCTATTTTAGTCTGTTCTAAATTTATTTGCATTTGCTTCGGATCCCAACCCTTTTTTTCCTCCCTTCTTCAAAACAAAGGAAAGGCAAATTTATCAGAGGCGCTCAGATCCCTCCGTAAACTTTCACAAAACTTTCACTTTCGTGGAAGTCACCGGCTTCATTTCCCCAAATCTTCTCGGTTTCCCTTTTTTTGTTCATAGCGTTTCCCCCCTTCACTTTTGCACGGGGTTTCTTCAATCTTAACTTCCTCCCGGGTTAAGTTTCGGTTTCCCGATGCAAAGTCGCCGACGGGCGGTTTAAGCTTTCGTTTCTCCGCCGATCTCTCCCTTTCCCCCCTGGCGGTAAACAGCAGAGCCGGGCGTGGGTTTCGGTCCACCCGTTCGCTCCCGGTTTCCGTTTCTCTTCATGCCGCCCCATAAGTCAGCCGGCTCCCTTCGGCTGCTCCCATTAGCCATGGATCGGCTGCTCTCCGCAAACCAAGCCGGCTGGCTGGAGCGCTTCTTCGTAGCCGGCTCGGCAGGGGCGGAGAGAGCCTATTTCGCCCTGAGCGGCGCCGGAGAGCAGCCAGCCCACCGCGCCAGGCCCGCCTGCTTCCTTCCCCCTCCGGGCAGATGCTATTCCTTCGGCATCCCCGTGGCTGCAACCCCGCCGGAGCGCGTCCGGGCTGCCCGGCTGCAGGGGACGGTGCAGCGCCGGTTGGAGGAGGCGCCTTGGGGCGCTCGGGGCCGCGTCCTGCCGCTGCTCTGCTACGGGCGCGGCGGAGCGCTGCTGGAGAAGGGCTTCTTGGTGCAGGACGAGCGGGGGCTGCCGGAGACGCGAGCCTTTCTGGACGAGCTCCTGCGGGGCCTGCTGCTCCCGGCTCACCTGTGCGTGTACGAGGAAGGCGAAGGCGGCCGGCTGGGCTGCACCTGGTGGGGCTTCCAGGGGGCGGGGAAGGAGAGCCAGCTGCTGGGCAGAGCGAACGTGGTGGCCGCCGAAGAAGCGGACTTCCACCCGGCGGTTCCTCACCACCTGGGCGACACCGTGTTCAGGTCTCGGGAAGCTGCCCGACAAGTGCTGGAAGAAGTAAGTGGTGAGGACAGAGGCCTTTGGCAACTTTTAAGACTTGTGGACTTTAAATAGCAATAGCAATAGCAGTTAGACTTATATACCGTTTCATAGGGCTTTCAGCCCTCTCTAAGCGGTTTACAGAGTCAGCATATCGCCCCCAACAACAATCCGGGTCCTTTTACAGAGTCAGCATATCGCCCCCAACAACAATCCGGGTCCTCATTTTACCCACCTCGGAAGGATGGAAGGCTGAGTCAACCCTGAGCCGGTGAGATTTGAACAGCCGAACTGCAGAACTGCAGTCAGCTGAAGTAGCCTGCAGTGCTGCACTCTAACCACTGCGCCACCTCGGCTCTCCCTGGGGAATTCTGGAATTTGAAGTCCACAAGTCTTAAAGTTGCCAAGTTTGGGGACCGCCGGTTTAAGGAGGCAGAACCAGCCCTCCTTGTCAGGTTCAGAATTAACAACGGCATTGAAAAAGTGACTTGGGACCGTACGTTTCACACTTACGACCGTTGCCGCAGCCTCGCCGTCAAGCGAATTCAGAGGCTTGGCAAACTGGTTCGTATTTATGACAGTTGCCATATCCCAGTGGTGGGTTTCAAAAATTGTTGGAACCTACTCCATGGGTGTGGCCACCTTTGTAGGAGTGGTCAATACCCCAGACTGATCAATCATCAAGGGTCAACGTTATTATTCATAGCATTTATTAGGAAACATAGTATTAATTAAATTATTCTCCTATAATGTTTTGGACCCAATGAACCATCTGAAATCCACGAAGCGGTTGATAAGCTAAAGGATTTGAGTCCTTGTGTTAAATAGACCGGCACGTGTCTCCTGCAAGAGGCATAACTGGGTTAAATTCCAGTGGCAATCACACTAACTGGGTCAAAAGTTGTTCTCTCCAAGAAGCTCTTCATATCTTGGGCCTTCACACCCAGAGCATATAAGCAGTCCTCGACTTACGACCGGTTGCTTAGCAACCATTCAAAATGACAAAGGCCCCTCTCAAGGGAGTATTTATGACCCAGTAGTTGCAATTTGAGTGAAAAAACAGTTGGTCTTGGAGTTGGTCTTCCATACATGGAGGATGGAATTTTTTGGTATTAAATATTATGGATGTTTAGCTAAAACAGGATATGAGGATTTGATGTTAATGGAGGATTTTACAAACAAGTAAATGAAATGCCAGCATGTGGTTATGGATTAAATCTTTGGCATAGTTAAGGATGAAGGATGTTTAAACAACTGTAGTCAACTAAAAGTGGAGGTATAATGATGTCAATATGGTAAACATCTGAGTTAAGATATTTGAATTAATATGAATTAATGGAAGAGATGCACAAAAACATGTTGTAACCAGCTGATATACTTTTTTTATAACATATATTTGTTGTGTTTTTTCTTTTTTCTTTTTTTTCCCCTGCCTTGTTTTTTGTTTTTTGTCTTTTTTGTGTTTTGATTTTTTCCCCCCACTGGTGTGGGCATGTGTTGTTTATGTAACAAAAAAAAAAAAAAAAAGAGTTGGTCTTTTGATGGGACGGACCAACCTGCTATATTCCAGGTTATAAGGGAGAGTGGGTCAACTTTTGGAGCTCATCAGGAAACTTGATTTATACAAAGGGAAGTTGTCTGGTTGTTACCATGGATTGAGGTGTCATCGCACACCGAATTGGTCTTCTTTAAAAAGAGGGGAGACCCGTCTAGGTCATGTGTAGACTCTTGAGAAACTTGTTCAGGGTAAGAGGTTTTAGCTCCAGCTAGCAGATCTTGCCATTCTGAAGTCTCTTCTCTGGTTGTGTCAGCCTCTGCTTTGCTGTTGCTTCGACTGCCATGAAACGGGGAGGGAGGGCATGGTATTTGGGAGGGGTTACTCATTGTGCTGGAGGAAGATTCTGGAGCTCAGCTGCCTGTCAGGACTGCGCATGCATAGGAGATTCCCGCCAAGGACTAACGGCACCGACATTCCATCTTGGTGATGCCTTTTGAAGTTATCTCGCACCTGACACTTGGGAGAATTATGATTGGACTGTGACTGGGATGCCAAGGGGTGGGGAATGGGCTATTCTATATATCAATCGCTTTCGCGCCTAAATAATCAGTCTTCGCTTTGCTACGTTTCTGATCATTTATAATTAGTAAAAGTACACTTGATTTCTACTCATGGAGTCTCGTGGTCTTCTTTCCTAATTATCTAATGGAGAGGTTCTGACAGGTTGTAGGACAAGGCTACAGAGTCATGGGGTCACATTTTGGGAACTCCGCATTCGACTTGCAAATTATAGCTTTTTTTCCCAGCGTCCTGTGGTTCAATGACTGCATTTTATGCCTTTTTTTAAAAAAATAAAAAAATAAAAAAAACTTATTTACTTCAGGTTTTCAGCAAACTCAACCCACAGCAAATAACAGGTTCGCTTAACGACCGTGGCTTTCGCTTCATAATGGCCACAAAAATAGGGCCAGTCACAGGGAGACCAGCTCTGATTCTGTTGTAAAGCTAAAAGTTGTCTCTCTCGTTTTTGATTGCTTGGGTTAACATGACTTTTTGTATGCTTCGCAATACATTATGAGAGCCTGTTTGGTGTGTAGGTTGTCCTTGACTTATGGCTCGTTGCTTAGCGACTGTTTGAGGTTACATCGCTCCCCCAAAGAATGTTTGTATGACCCAGTTCCCATGGCTGCTCCCTCTCATGACCGCATGATGAATACTTGGCCACTGGCTCATATTTAAAATGTTTGCAACGTCCTGCAATCACATTCCTGTGATTTACAGCATTTTTACGAGAGACCATTTTTCCCCTTCCAATTTTACACAAGAATGACCCATAGCAAACAATGTGTTGGCTTAATTTCTGGAGGCTGTTTAACGACCGTGGTAGTAGTTGCTTTATGATCACAGTGGCTGCTTAATGACCGCTGTAAAAAGGGTCATAAAATTGGGTTGGCCATGTGAATGACCCTACCTTAGATTCATGATGACTTTCAGCTGGAATGCGGCCAGCTCCATTGCAATTGTAAAGCAAGAATTACCTATAGTGTTAAGACATCTGGACAGAAGACTTGAGTTCTAGTTCTTTCTACCAGCTGGATGACCTTTTGCCAGTCACATTTTCTCAGCTCTGGAAAGGAGACAAGGCCAAGCCATTTCTAAAATCTTGCCAAGTAAGCTTCAGACAATTTCTAGGAGCCAAAAACTTATTCAAAGGCACCAGAAATAACACCACCCCCACACCCCCCAGTATATTATTTTCACCTGGATTGATTCATTCATGTCTATTTGAAGAAAAGGCACTAAATTACATTCAGGAACTCCTTTTCCATGGCACATTTGGAACACCATATATGAAATAATTATATTAACATGTGACTTTTAATGATGCTTGTTTAAATTTCAGGAGGGTTTTTGTTTTTAGTTATCGAACTATCAAGTAACTGACATAAATTTGTGATGTATACGCACACATACATAAATAATGTTTTTTTGTAGAAGCTTATTTTAAAACCTGATAATAAGATAGACAATATATATATGTTGATAGTTAATATATATATCAAAAAGCTTTACCAATGGTATTTCTATTGCAACAGAAATTCAATATAATATTCATCAAATTTGATAGAATTGTAGTTCCTCTATCTGGCGTATTTTCACTGTATCTATAACCTTTTTCCAACACGGCAATTGAAGAGGTCTTGTTAATCCACACCTTAATTATTCAGTTATCTTATTTGTTTCCAATATTGGGCAATTATTTTAGCTGCTAAAATTAAGTAGTTTACATTTCTCATTTTTTATTTAGTCTCAAAAATAAATTCAGTAACTCTGGGTTATATACAATTCTTTTTAAATAATGATTTTGTGTCCCCCCCACAATAAATAACTTTATTGCATGATTACTACAAATGAAGTAAAGACAACTTATTCAATATTTGGAAGAATAATATGTACAGGTGCCAATCTGCCCAGAATCAAGTGCTAATGATATAAAATCTTCTCGAGAATTTCTTGCATTGAAACCTGGGTGAATCAACCTGATTTCTATAATGCCTGCCAATTTATCTCCTGGATGAGTTTACCAAAATGAGTAAACTAAGCTTCCTTAGTTTAAGAGGAAGAGGTGGCTCTCTTGTTTCTAACTTCAATAGTAACCTATAAAGCAGTGGTTCCCAAACTTGGCAACTTTAAGACTTGTGGACTTCAACTCCCAGAAGTCTCCAGCCAGCTCTGCTCTGCTCTGGGAGTTGAAGTCCACAAGTCTTAAAGTTGCCAAGTTTGGAAACCACTGCTATAAAGTTTTGAGATTGTTCTCTTTAGTTGTTCTGTATAATTAAGTATTAAGTTCTCAAAATTAGCATAATACTGAATTGGTCAAAGTCTAACATCCTTAATGCCCAGTAGAAATTTAATAATTAACAAAAACAATCACAACTTCTCACTTACTCATTGCTGTATGTCTTGTTTATTGAGCGGTTCCCTATTGCTATAGAAATCTATAGAATCTATATCTATAGAAATTTAGTCTGTAAAAGTTGTATCTTCTCAAAAGTTTTATTTGAGCCAGACGATGGTATTTGTTGTGTTTTTTTTTAATGTTGTTAAAGCAGTTAGAATAGAAGTATACTTTACCAAGGCCTTTTGATTTTTGTTTTTGAACAATAAAATGTTTATTTAAAGGGAAAATGTATGGAAAATCCTTGTGGGGAATGTGATGCAAAACGTGATACCATATTGTTCAAACTTAGTTTTTCAATGTCTGCATTCTCATTCTCATTCTCATTTATTGAATTTAAAAGGCCACCCAATCCCGAAGGACTCCGGGCGGCTTACAGAAATGAAAAATATTAAAAAGCATTCTGCATTTTGTACCCCGGAATGTCTTGAACAGGGATTTTGTATGTTTTCTTGAAGAAAATATGGATAAAGGGGACTTGGATACATATTCCCAAAAAAACCTTATAAAATGGGCATGTTTAATTGCACAATATCTTTCAAATTAGTCCAGTCAGACTTAAGTTTTTTTTTTAAGTGTTGCTTTCCTATGATCTACCCGTTGAATGGCCAAGTTATAGATCCTATGTGGAAGACGAGATTTCGTGACCCGTCAAAACCGCGCTCGACTAAGCCGCGCCCGATTAAACCGTGTTGCTGACGTCATCAACAGGGCGACAACAGCGAGCGCGGAGAAAGAAGGGTGCTTTAAATAGCGCTTTGAAAGCAAGCCGATTCAACTTAAGGTAAGGGTTAGGTTTAGGGTTAGCTTTAGGGTTAGCTTTAGGGTTAGGTTAAGGGTTAGGGTTAGGTTTAGGGTTAGGTTAAGGGTTAGGATTAGGTTTAGGGTTAGGTTAAGGGTTAGGTTTAGGGTTAGGTTAAGGGTTAGATTAAGGGCTAGGTTTAGGGTTAGGTTTAGGATTAGGTTTAGGGGGGTTAGTTTAGGTTTAGGGGTTAATTTTAGGTTTAGGGTTTACAGCGTGCTTCTGTCTCTGCACTGTTGTCGCCCTGTTGATGATGTCAGCGACGCGGTTTAGTCGAGCGCGGTTTAGTCGAGCGCGGTTTTGTGGTGGAACCAGAGATTTTGGTATCTGTCTCTTGTGAATGTCAGCTGAATTTCTTTCAGGTGACAGAACTGTTGCTTAGGATGCAGGAGCCACGTTCTTTAGTCTACCTGGCACTTCAAGTGGACCTCATGAGCATTGCTCCTTAAGTATTGCTTCTAGTCCTTAGAAGAATCCATGTGTCTTCTCGTTACAGTGCACTTCAATAATTCCTGAATCCAGACTGGTTCTAGAACTCGTGGATAAGTGTCCTAAACATCCAAAGAAAGGAAACTTTCCTCTAATCGTTATTGAAGGACTAGATGCAACAGGTAAGAAAAAAGACATATTTTTAGGAAAGCATAAGCTGTTCTTTGACTGACACATTTCGTATAGCCGTGATGGCAAACCCATGGCATGTGTGTGCCACAGGGTTCACCGACAAAAGCGCGCCCGACAAAAGCGTGCCCGATGAAACCGCGGCGAGAAAACCGCAAGTTCTAAACCGCGCCGACGAATGACCGGAGAAGCGTGCCGACAACAGCGCGCCGACAGAAGCGCGCTCTAAACCTAACCCTAACCCTAACCCTGAAGTTAAGGGTTAGCCCTTAACTTAAATTGCACTTCTGTCGGCGCGCTGTTGTGGGCGTGTTGATGACGTCGTGGTTTTCGTGCCGCGGTTTCGTCGGCACGCTTTTGTCATGCATGCATTTGTTGGGTCACGTGCCACAGGTGGCATACGGAGCCATATTTGCCGGCACGGCAGCCCTCAGCTCCCATCACGCATGTGTCCACTGGCCAGATGGTTTTTGGCTGCTTTAGCCCTCCCCAGACTTCAGGAAAGTTACACCTATTCTCCGCGAGCTGCACTGGTTACCGATCGGTCTCCGGATACGCTTCAAAGTGCTAGTCGTAACTTATAAAGCCCTTCATGGTATTGGACCTGGGTACTTGAGAGACCGCCTGCTGCCAATTACCTCCCATAGACCCATTAGATCACACAGGGTTGGCCTCCTCTGGGTTCCGTCCACCAGCCAATGCCACCTGGCTACTACCCGGGGGAGGGCCTTCTCTGTAGCAGCTCCAGCCCTTTGGAATGAACTCCCCGTGGATATTTGGACCCTCACCTCTCTCCAGGCCTTCCGGAAAGCCTTCAAAACCTGGCTGTGCCAGCAGGCCTGGGGTTGATGAATTCCCCTCCCCTCTCGACTTGTATGGTTGTGTGACTCTTGTTTATTTTAATTACGTGTATCGTGTTTTATGTTCCCTTTTTCCCCCTTTTGAGTTGTTCGCCGCCCTGAGTCCCTCCCGGAGAAGGGCAGCATACAAATAAACTAAATCTGAATCTGAAAGCCTCCGGAGCCTGGGGAGGATGAACCCCCCCCCCCCGTGCGTGGGTGGGGCATACGCGCGCATGCAATAACATGCACACAATTTTGGCACACCTTTAGAAAAAGGTTAGCCATCACTGTCATATAGTATCAAATCAACTTACTTTGTGGGTTCGCATAGCACACTGAACTGAAAGCCGGGCTTGTGCAAATTCTTAAAACTAAAAAATAAAATAAAAATCAAGTTTAAGAGCAGACAAGTGAGGACATTAACATGTTCTCTTGTCTGACTGTTTCCTAGGCAGCATCTCTTCCCCTCTTTCCTCAAGATCATTCACACAGTCTATGATTACTGTGTTAAGATTTTATAGTTTAGTGCAACTACTTTAAATTACACTCAGAAGCCTCTTGACAATCAAAAGCTGGGGAAAGGATGGTGGCCCCTATGCTTTTTCCAAGTTCAGTCAACAGTCCACTAGAGTTCTTCCCTTTGTCTTAAAAGGCCAATTATTTTCTCTCTTCAGCGGTGGGGAGGGACTGGAGTCCTTTTTTGTGTAACCAACAATATATCTTCCTAATGGGTATGTGGATTGACAATCTGGCATGCAATCCTAATTTGTTGCGGATGCTGATGAATAGGACCTCAATTTGTAAATAGAATACATTGGCTTAACTTGGCTCAAAAATTAATTCTTCCCGTTGAAAAATACCAGCAGTTTAGCTACTCTGCGTAATTGTTTACTTTTTTTACCACTGCCCTTAGAACACTTTCACCAGGCTTGAGAATTATGGATCTTTTTAAAAATAAATAAATTGTAGTTGCATCACAACAATAAACGAACAAACGGATGCAAGTGACACACTGGCCAGAATTGTTTGTAAGTGATTAGTTATTTTGGAGGTCATTAGAGCAGTGTTTCTCAACCTTGGCAACTTGAAGATGTCTGGACTTCAACTCCCAGAATTCCCCAGCCAGCGAATGCTGGCTGGGGAATTCTGGGAGTTGAAGTCCGGACATCTTCAAGTTGCCAAGGTTGAGAAACACTGTCCTAGCCACTGTTTGTCAGAAGAAATACAGAACCTGTGAAGTGTGAAATAATTCTAATTCTTTATGAGGTAGTCACCCTGCTCATTCTTTCCATCTCTTAGATAAAGCAAATGGCAGCTGAACATTCAGGGATAGCTATGAGATGCTTATTACCCTTGCAGCTTCTAGCTAGGTTCATATATGCTGTTGCCCCCTGGCGTAGTCAAATGAATGGCTGGGGAATTCTGGGAGTTGAAGTCCAGACATCTTCAAGTTGCCAAGGTTGAGAAACACTGCATTAGACTGTCCAAATTAGCAAGAAAACAAAGTAGCAACAATTAAATAGAAGTGAAGTGTGTTTGATTGTAATTTGAGGACTAGCAACAGATGTTAAGGTTAGTAGAAAACACAAATCTTTGTCATATGGCAGGGTTGTGTAGCTGACAGCATATGGATCAAATACAGCTTGCAAATCCATCTTTCTACCTCCCTCAGAATTCCCTTGCCATTCTTGTGAGGATCACAGAAATTGTAGGCCAACATAATGTAAGGGCGCAGAGTGAGAAAGGCTGATATAAATTAATCTGTTTTAGTTCATATGTAATGCCAGGTGACTAAGCATTATTTTCCACCTTGTTTAATAATTCATCCAATGCTTGTTGTTTATAACAATATCTAGGTAATAGCATTCTACTCCTGCGTTAGTTTCTTTGACCATGGTTTATTGAATAATGCCCAACTGGCTGAATTTGAACATAGTTATAGTTTGTTAAAAACCACGATGGGATGCACACTGCATATTAAACCAAACAGATCATTTTATAGCTTAGTAGAACGTGTGATTTGGGAGTGAGGCCGGTGGATTCATGCAAATAGTGGATTAAACCCTTTTGTGAAGTTTAAATCCTATCTATCTTAATCCCACTTCATTCAGTGCAGGTCCAAGAAAGTTGCTTCTTGCCTTCGTGAACATCTCTTCACAGCAGGATTGGTGGCAGTTATGAGGCAGTGTGACTAAGGAAGTAAGAGGATTCCATCTTCACCTCTTCTTCCTCAAGTCACAGCAACTAGCAATAGCACGTAAACTTATATACTGCCTCACAGTGCGTTACAGCCCTCTCTAAGCGGTTTACAGCCTATTGCCCCCAACCATCTGGGTCCTCATTTTACCGACCTCGGAAGGAGGGAAGGCCGAGTCTACCTTGAGCCAGTTGGGATCGAACTGCTGGCAGTTGGCAGAATTAGCCTGCAATACTGCATTCTAACCACTGCGCCAAGAGAATGGCTGATAGTTCTCCACAAAATTTTATTTTATCTGCAGCTAAGACAGGAAGAGATACAAACACGGTAGATTATTGCCTATGATGTCAATGACCTAATCTAAATTCTTGCAAATTCTATCGATTCCCCTGTTGTGTCATAACTAAGGGTGACTTTCTTTCCTGTACCAAATGTAGGCAAGACAACAGTGACCCATTTTTTGAAAGACTCCCTGGACGCCGTACTCTTGAGGACTCCTCCATCGTGCGTTGGCCAGTGGCGGAAGATTTTTGATGATGAACCACCCCTCATACGGAGAGCCTTCTATGCACTGACTAACTACATTGTGGCTTCTGAAGTAGCCAAAGAATCCTCTAAGTTTCCAGTGATTCTAGACAGGTTTGCAAAAACGAAGCGTTTCCAGTGGGGGGGAAATATATATATAGCTCGGAGATGAAACTTGGGACTCTGTGAGATTGGCTGTTTGCTTGCAAATGTTTCAAAACTGGCTGCACAAGCTGCTCCATGTAGACAGGGAGCAACCCAACATTTACTTGCATAGATGACGTTACGTAGTTGGATAATGAAACATTTGCAAGAAAACAACCGAGCTCAGAGAGCATCAGGGACTCAACAAACATAAAGTGCCTTCATTGAAGAATGTGCTGCCTTGTTAATTGTACAAGTTGTGTTTCTAGTATTTTATGAAAGACTAGCTGATAACCCAGCATTGCCCATATTTATTTATAGGGGGGAAAAGTCTGGACCAAACGTAATTTCTAATGTTGGATTTTCCCCTTTACCAGAGGGAGCCCCCTTGTGGAGTACTGTGAAGCCGTTACCAGCGCAATTCCACTGCGCTGTACAGAAGCCATTTTACGGCAGTACAATAGAAGCCATTTTAAGGCACAACAGGCTGTATCTTAACAGAACACCCCCCCACAAGGTGTGCTAGGTGTGTCTTACCCCCACAGTATTTTTTTCCAGAGAGTAAGCAATCTGTGTACCCTGTTTGGTTGAAATTGCTCGAGGGGTTCCAGAATTATGCTGAAACATACACACACACATAGCCATTTATAGATAGATGATAGATAGATGGATGGATGGATNATATCGCGGGAAGGAAACGAAGGTGGGTCTCCTTGTGAATGGACAGAAGTTTTTACAGAAAAGGGAAAACCCGAACATCTGGAGCCAGCTGCTGCAGTGTGGCCGTGTGAACTTCTGAGTCTCCGAGGCGGTGGCGGCTGCAGACCGAAGGGACATCGTTGCCATCCTTCCCGCCTCGGTTCTTGACACCTTCTTCCCGGCATCCCCTCCCCTCCCCTCTGGGAGACCAAGCTGAGCCCGGCCACCTCTCAGGGCGCTGCCTCACCAGCAGTCGCATGCTCCATTCTTCCCCTCCCCTTGTCAAGCGCAGCCATCTGATCCGCCCACCAGTGCCTCTCGTGTCGCAATTGGCTGGGCATCGGTTGTCCTCGCACCGCTGCTCCTGTCAGGCAGCCCCTCCCTTTCGCAAGGCAGAGCCCACCGCTGCCACTGCTCCCCTGGCTCTAAACAGTGGCACGCAGGTGTCTCGGTTCCTAAGACCATCGAAAATATGTGTTTTCCGATGGTCTTAGGCAACCCCTGGGACAAGGTCGTTTGGCCCCCAAAGGGGTCGCGACCCACAGGTTGAGAACCACTGCCATAGAGTATGTTATATGTAGCTTTCCCGGTTAATAGCAAAAAGCAATAGCTTTTTACCTCCAGAATATTTTATTGGCATATTGACAGCTTAATCAAAGACCAAACATGTATCCACTATTAAGTGAATTTAAAAACCATCTTGCAAGCAAGCCAACAGAGCTACAAGCCAGATAAGCAGAGATTAATACCAAGATTAATATTGGAGTGGTGCAGCGGCCTAGAGGTGGGGCTCTCGCCTCACAATTAGGAGGCTGTGACAATGAGACAATCAACTCTCAAGCTGGCCTAACTGAGGCCATCTTTGAGGCTTCAGTGTTGCCACAATGGAGATGAGGATTAGGGCGGGGGGAATAGAGATAGCCGGGGTTGGTAACCAAAACAAAATACTTTCCCCTGGGAACCAAGGACATTCCAACAGGTGACTGAAGAGAGGAGGAATGATGTTACCAAGCAACTGGACAGCACCCTGATTGGACCATGTGACTGTTTGTTTGGGAAAAGGGGAAAATGTTTACTTTTGATTAGGTGAAAACTGCAGGAACCTTTAGAGTCGATTTTCACCAGCTTGTGCCAATATGGTATATCCAATAAAACTGTTCTTTGAGGAATCTTCTTGCCTCGGAGTTCTGCTTGCTGTGGGTGTCTTGCTTGGAACCCTGACAGAGACTATATCTGCTGGAAAAAAAACCTCTGCATTGGCGACATGAAAGGCGTCCAGCCAGTAAACACTCAGCTCCATTCAGTTACCCAGACTCCACCCCACAAGAGATTATGGGGTCATTAAAAGATGATGAATGCCTAGATTAATATTAGACCAACAATCAAGAGGTAAACAATGCCCCAATCAAGGAACTAATAACTCAGACAAACAAGCTAACAGCAAACAACAGTCTAATCAAGGAACCACCAAGAATACACCCACCAACCATGACTGGGCAAGCCAATAATATACAAAAGAGAGAGCAAACTCCACTCCCTTCTAAGACTGATGATGTCACCTAGTTGGGTAATGAAACACCTTCACCAGGAGCCAACGTCGCAACGACACATTGCGCGGACTCGACAGTCCAAGTCCGCCGATGAAACCTTTGTCCTTGGACGGTTCGGTAGGATCTAAACCGTCCCAAAGAGATGGTGACAGGGAAGCCAAAACCTTGCTGGTCACAGGGACACCGCAAAGTCCCTGATTGACCCAAGGGTAGTGCTTCCAACTGAAGACAGACAGCCCCCAGGCTGGCATAGTCGGAGACGGCTCCCGAAGGAAAAGACGAAACAAAAGCGTTCCATCTGGTGAGGTTTTTTTCTTCCTTTTTTTTACTTTCAGAAGATCTGCATTAAGAAACTACTACTACTACTACTACTACTACTACTACTACTACTACTACTACTACTACTAC